CATTTTTCAACACTCTATCTTAATTACACATTTATAGGTATTATTAAAACAATTTTTTTTATTAAAACTACAATGTGTATTTATTATTACATAGAATTTATAAAAAAATATCATTATAATTTATTCGTTGAAAAATGTGATATTTACGAATTAACTGATTTAACATTTTCGACCGTCATCATAAAAATGGCAATTTTGAAGATCAATAAACTGTAAAGATCAAAGTTGCTCAACAAAAATAGAGCAATCCAAATCCAGTGTCAAAAATAATGGTTCCTATTTAAGAAATTTTTATTTTACTGCGTATGCGCAAATAAAAAAAAGTTAAAAATTTAAATTTATCAAAAAATTATGTAATTATATGTTCTGTATCCTGTAAAAAAAACCCGAATCAAATTCATGGTCATGCTTTCGAAATATTTCCTGTTACCCTTAAAATTGAACACACGGTATACCAACAACTTAATTTTAATCGATTTTTTTAAAGTATTTTGATCTATAAAAAACACTGTCTTGTAATGGTTCCGTCACCTCTGCTTGGAACATTTCATTTGAGTRAGCCTCAAATAAAGTTTGAAATGACATCAGCCCACTATTACCTTGGTCATCTTCACAGTTGCTGCCAGGCGAGTGACTTGACAGGAAATTGTTCAAGACCAGAGTTCTGTATGAACTTGCAAACATCTGGYAGTTAGGATTATTATTCCTGTAAYCTAGAGCACGCAAAGCACCAAACATATTCTCCAATGGATCTTGATTGAAGTTTCTTAATAGTAGAGAATGCACACCATTAGTATCCATTACTTTGACTACATTTTGAAATCCTGAGAAAATAGACACAAAAATGTATATAACAAATTGAATGATATAAATATATTTATGTTTTCATATAATTATAAATTAATTACCTTTCAAAGTTAGTATCCAATTTTTAACTGTARGAGGCTGAGGTTTACATTTCTGTTTTGTTATACTGTCAACAAAGTACATGGTTTGCATCACTTTAATTGCATTTCTCCATAGTTGGTGGTGGGGCGAATTTTTTGTTACAGCCGTACGATACACCTTTCCATCAACAACTCTGTGGAAGTTACCATTGACAGAATCAAAAATGTGATCAAAAAATAAACAAATATCTGCTGTATCTTTTGCCGTAACATCCATTAATTTCCTTGCTGAAAAAAAAGTTATACAAATTAAATTAGTTATATTTACACTGAATATTACATATATATGTGTTCATAATATATTATAAATATTATGTATACAGTTACTTACAAGCTAAAAAATGTAGAATTGCTGCTACCCGTTGACTTAGTACTTGGCAAGCATTTTTAACCTTCATTTTTTTAAATTTAATTTGGTATTACATGTTCTCTAGTGAGTCTTGGTAACATTCTCACCTCTTGAATATTATTGTCTAATTAATACAAATCCATAATATCTTGCCAGCGTGCTTCTTTCCGCTCTCCATTTATTGTACACACAAGATTTTTGTTGAGGAGGTTATTTCTGATTCCTTTAATCAAGTGAGGAGGATCATACAGGTGAATAATTTTGAGGCGCTTATCTCCACATTCAATCTCATAAAAGCTATCATCATAGTTATTTTCATTTTTCCGTAAATAGTATTCTTTAGTATTATCGTGTAATACTCTAATAGCAGCGCTATTGGAAGTTCCTTGGTCACAAATTGAAGCAACAACTTTCAGACCAATAGATGTTACTGCTTGAATCACCATTCTTATTTGGTTGGCCAAATCGTGTTTATTAGTCAAAATGTGTATGATATCGGTTGCTTGTATTTTTTTGTAATACCCTTTATCATGAACACCAAACAATGGTCTGCAAAATTTTGAGTACGTCTTAAACCATTATCTTCGAAACCCATAATAGATCCTACAGAGTGATCGTAATGAAGCTGAGCTTCTAAACTAACTTCATCAAACAATATAACACAAAATTTATCTTTGTTTTTCAAACTTTTAACACGTTCTKCCAAAACTTTCAAAAAAGTGTCATCTAAACCAGTTTTAATGGGTATTTTTGATAAAAGTGTGGATAGCGTTTTTCTCGAAGGTAATGTACATAATTTTGAAAGTAGCCGGTATGATTTTTTAATTTGTTTATACAATGATAAACTTAGTAGCTTTTCCTCTATTGTAAATCGTCTTCCTTTTGCCTTGTTCTGAGTTTCTCTTATTTGAAGTTGAGTGAAAATGGCACCAGTCGAAGTCATTTTCTTTGATACATTAGAAGAAAAAAACTGACTATCCAATTTGGAAGCAGCTGCAAGGCGACTTTTAAAACTAAGGCATCTACTTTTCAAGCGGTTCAGTTGTTTATTCAAAATTATACCGTCTGAGTAAAATTGCTTACACCTTGGTGTTAATTGGCTAATTCGACTGACATTTATTTTACTCAGAGCACCTATAACGAAAAAAAAACATATTTTTATTTATTAATTTTGAATATGATAAAAGCTATTTTTGAAATATTCAAAATAGTTTTTTTGTAAATCTGATTTTTAGGAAAATATTGTTGTCAACAACTTTTTGTTAGGTTGAGTCAGTTATTTTGAAACAATTTGTTTACATTAAAATTTATTTCTTGTTAATCACTGTTACAAGATGCAGCAATTGTTGATAAGCAATTTAAGCACACAAAAATATCATAGCTTTTAAAACTATACCTAACCATATCCCTGAACATGGGAATGATATTATAAATATGGTGCTATTAGTGATTAATAAATTTCAGTTTTTTAATCAGTAGAAAATAATAATTACCATGTTTTTTTAAGCGTTTAATTACAGGATTTTTTTCCATTCTATCTTTAACAACTTTTTGGCATTCATCATGGCTGTACAAGCATATTAATAGGCAAAAATCTTAATTATACAAAATAAGCTAAGCATCCAAGACAATATTTATAATACAAAGCAAAAATATGAACTATAAGCATAAATAAATCATACATACATAGCACAAGTGAATCACTGAGTGGTTCTATACCAGATATATCAAAATCATTACTCTGGTCGTTGTTAAAAGTATGATTTGAACAAGGAGACTGCACTACTTTATTTGACAAATACGATGTTGATGGATCAACAGAACTCAAACATTCATTCATTGGGTCAGTAAGAGTTGTATGAACTTCAGAAATACTTTTAACTGGAAAATAGTGTAAAAAGTGAATACCATTGGAAAAAAATTGACTTATGAAAGTATAAATATGTAATGAAAGCATACCAGATGGTTGATGCTCACCGTAAGTCGAGCTGTGAGTAGACCATGAAGACTGGGTGTTCACAAATGATTCACATTGTAAGGGTTTTACTCCAGAATCACTGAGTGGTTCAACGGCAGACATATCAAAATCATTACTCTGGTCATTGTTAAAAGTATGATTTGAACAAGGAGACTGCACTACCATACTTGACCCAGATGGTATCACATTTATAGCTATAACAGAAGTATGATTAAAAATAAGACTATCCAGCTATAATTATAATTAATATTTTAAATTACACTTATTTGACATGTTCAATGTAGAGTATGCATTCGCATTCAGAGCTTTAGTGCCAGGACTTTTTGTATCAGTGTSAAAGTGGGCATCACATATTCTTTTTTTTATGTACACATTCTCAGGTGTCATATTATTTAGGTCTACAATTTCCATCCACTTTAGTAGCCGTCCCTTATATAATCGTGGGTTTGGAAAACGATGAGAAATTACATCTAAAAAAAAWTATTAATTTTTGTATTACATTGGATTAGAAAATTAACTAACTAGTTATGTTAGAAAGTTAAAAATAATTATCTTTTTACCTAGTTTATGCTTAGTGTCATAGTGTATACTTATCCAAAAGTAAGTTTGTGTAGGTCTTTGTGGTTATTTATCAKTTATTATAAAGATAATTTAGCTCTAACATTGTACAAAAATRTTATGATATTTATCTTAATGACTTATGTGTGGTGTAATTTTCCTTGATAAAATGTAATAGTTAAACAAAAATAACAAAAATAAAAGGTGGGTATATACATAGACAAGTAGGTATACATTAAATATTATCATTGATTAAATGTATTTATATTTTACAACTTACCAGAATKAAATTATAATAACTAACTTAAAATCATAAATGTATAAATGTATTATAATTCTATTTGTCATCGGGACATGACAGATTTACAAATATAGTGAAAACATAATGTTTTTTTGACTTTAAATTGCCTATCTATTGGCAATTGAAAAATTGRCTTCTAAAATTTATTTGACTACTTTTTAATTGCCTATCAATTTTTCCCACATAATACAATTATTTTGTAATCATAATTCCTATAACCTAAATTATTAAACGAAAATTGTATTGTTTTTGTTAATTTTTGTGATGAACTACGAATTGGTAATCACAGRGCTATAGATAATATCGACAGCCATGTTTAAACACAAATTACAGCAATGACCTATAGGACAATAGACCACTGGGCCATCCCTATCCACATTTCAGTTGATTTATTCATGCATAAAACTAAAAATTACCAACCTTTATAACTGCATCCGGCTATGCAAAATTTATACGAGTGCCTAGTCATTTTGTTTAATTGAGATGATCGCGCAAAACAGACGACAGTATAGATACCTACTCAAAAAAAAAAAATTAATAACAACACAATTATCACTGAACGTTAAACCGGTATACTTGTTTATGTCTGTAACACACAGAAAAAAAATATATCACGATTTGAAACTTCACAACAGTTAACGATGAACTTTCAACTTTCAAAAATTTAAGAAAAATCCGTTACGTAATTACGTCTACGATTTACGAATTACGAATATCATGGCAGTATTGGCATTTGGCAATACTCGTCTACAGTCGTTTTCGGTCGCCGCTAAAGCAGTGGCGTAACATTAATTCCCCTTATCATTAAAACTAATGCGTACTTTGCTGCCTCATAAGTTTTAGTGAGATTTGTCTGATGAAATCCTATAATTTCATCTTTGGGAAGTGAATAATACAAATGAGTTTTTAAGGACATTTCATCAGCACATAAGATGCAGTCAAGGGCCTCAGTTTTAAAGGTAGAAATTTTGAATTTTACAAAATCAAATAAAAAATCATTTAACCCTGGAATCAATTCATATTTTGAAGTAACTCTTCTTAAAGTTCTAACTGAAGGTAGGCTTAGGATACTTTTCAAAAATCTATACACAGATGGGCCTAAGAAGTAGATTGTTAACGCTAATTGCTTCATATCATGAGGGTTTCTTGTTTTGCACATTAGATTAGATTTCACAATCGTTAGTACAGTGGGTGATAAATGTTGTTCACACAATGAGAGTAAATTTTCAACAGTATTAAACTCACTTAGCTGATTGCTCAAGGCCAGGATAGTTTTTTCAGCTTTGAGACGAGCTTCTTTTTCAATCTTCAATTGTTGCCGTAATAAAACTTTTCTGGGTGTTTTCTCAGACCAAGATTTTAGAGTTTGGCAACCTTTTGAAGAACCTAAATCATATTCATATAATTTTAATTAGCACATAGTAAATTGTAAATAAACAGTTTAGTAAAATTGTTTGATTAAATCTTACTGGGACCTGTGAAATCTGAAGGAGAATCTAAATATGTAGATTTTTCACTAGAAAACGATGATGTTCCAGGAGAAATAGCGTAGTCAATACTATCAGGTACTACTAAACAAAATTTAAGAATATTATATTAAATAATTCTTAAAAATGGATCTCTATGGAAATCATATTAACTCACCAGGTGAACCAGGTAATGGAAGAGCCAGTATTTCATTGTTACCATATGCTACTGTGGTACATGATTTTGAAGAACCTAATAATGTATAAAGTTAGCAATAATAACAAATTTTAAAATAAATATAAAAATATATTTACCAGGATCATCACTAATGTTTAGTGGAGTATTTGAGCCACAAGACACAGTATTACTCGAACTGGTACAGGTTCTAACTTTCTCACTAGACAAGTCTGTAGTACTCACGTCACAATTATCTGAATATAAAAAAAAAAAAAAAAGGTTATTTGAAAATATTATTGCTGCTGAATGTCATATTAATTCTTATATACCTGGAAATAGTGTAGGTATAGCATCGGGTTTTAACCTGTTCTCTAAAAAGTTTAAAAACATAATTTTTTCAAAATGTTTTCCACATAATTTAACATTCTTTTGGGATAGAGTGTCAGCTGGTAGTTGACAGCGTTCTAACCAAATTTCACGCCTAAAAAATGTAACAAAAAATAGCTTGTTTATACTACAAAACACAATTGACTTGGTACTAGTTATATATTGTACACAGTTCTGTTTTAATTTTGTTTTCTTAGTATAATAGATCTGTCTTATTGTTTATTAGACCAAGAACATTAGGTGTTTAATTGTGTAACATTATATTGTAAATTTAACAAGTACCATTGACTTGTTTAATACTTAACATTATTATAAAACAAAATACTTACCGAGCAGGATCTTTAGGAAAAGAAAAAAAACTAATTGAATCTTTTAGAATTTTCATTTCCCCGCACGATTTTATAATACATTTGAATGAATATCCACTCTTACGAGACATTTTAACAAAATGTAGATATTATGCACAATGTTCTTCGAAAAAACACAAACCACAACTGAGCAGTTTAAACGTAAAACGTGTAACAAATGCTTGTTTTTTTTAGTAACCTTAAATTATGAACTATGATAACAGTTTTTTACCTGATAACACTTAATTGATAAAAGTAGCCAACGGGAACATGGCCGCCACGTTTTTGTTTACATTGAAAGTGTCTTTTCTGATTTAATCTATTCTGTGATATTATTAACAACATTAACTCAATGCTACCACTTTTTTTTTTTGAACTATGAACTGTTAAGTTACAGGTACTGAAACAGTTCAGAACAGTTCATCAAAGTGAATAGTTCAAATGAACTATTCGTTCACGAACTTAACATCTCTAGTGTTAATTGTTAAGAGTAAATCTGTAAGTATTCCTAAAAGATGATGGAGAATATCGAGTAAGTACATGTTTTTTAAACTTTAGTTATCACACATTATGACATGTGACACATAAATACATCCCGTTACATTGTTGAAATGCATTCGCGCTGATGGCGAATGCCAAAAGCTCCGATTTTTCATAATGTGTATTATATGTACCGATTTATTCGTAACCAACTAAATTTCTTTTTAGTATTAACAGACATGTTTGTAATTTCTATACTTTTAATTATTAGTGAACCTCCCAAAAAGCACCAAAGAAGGCAAAATTATTCTCCTGATGAAAAATTGCGGCTCGTAAATATTTGTCACATGTACAAACACATAAAAGAGAACAAAATTACCGATGCAGTTTCGTAGAAGCAAAAATAAGATGCTTGGAAATCAATAACAAATGATTTCAATTCAAATTTTACTGTATTCCGTGAAATGCAGTCATTAAAAAATTTGTACGATAATCGTAAAAAAAAAAAATACTTGTAAAGTCATTGCTCAAAACCGTAGTGAAGTATATAAAACTGGAGTTGGAAAAATTGAAACGCCAGCAATCTCAACAATAGACATAGCTACTCTAGAAGTTATGAATGCTACTTCTGTGAATGGTCACAATTAYAATTATGATGAWGACCAGGTTACTATAAGCAATGATATCATTTTATCAAATATTTAGTTTGAATATGAAGAAAGTGATGTGAGTACTTTTTATTTTACTCTACGGGCCAGTTGTACCGTCTACGGTTAAACTTCAATTACGCTTAATCAGCTGATAACAGATATTTAACCKTGCAAATTCGGCCRATTAAACTCCGGTTAACTTTAATCAGAGACGGTACAACTGGCCCTATATGATATTATTCACTCATATTAATTATTCATTAAAAGTCTAATAATCAGACTTCAGATATTTAATAACAAATTGTCTTCTATAAATACAGAAAAAAAAATGTACATGTTTTTAAATCTAATTTGTATAAATAAAAATACCTACATTTTAACATTTTATTAGAAAATAATATTATGTTCAATTTGGTAGGCAGTTTATTATTTTATTGTCAATATGAACAAGAAAAAAAGTGGCCGTTGGTGTGATCATAGGAGAGATTTTAAGTTAAAGTTAGTTTTTTTTATTTAGGGCATTGTTAAAGATTCGGCTTTTCACTAAACAAATTTACTAATTAATGCTGTATCTATCTCAAACTGAAGTATACCTAAACAATTTACACACTTATTATTAACCATTCATATCAATAATAATCAAGGCTATATTTGTACCTATTATACATTTTTTTACCATAATATACTGTATATCAATTTATTTTATACAATATAATATGTAATTATTTTTATTATTTTATGAGTATTGGCCTATAAAGATTATTTATTATTATTAAATATAAACTTAGAAGATATTTGTTATGTACTATGTTTTAGATTTCAAACAATGAAATATCTATTTCTAAAATTAACATTTTTTGTAGAATTGAATTTTTACACAGTTACGTAATACAAGGTTATATTATTGTAGAATCAAATTCCAAAAGAAGTTGTAGATTAGAGTGCTAATAATATGTGGGCCAGTAATTTACAAACAAAACCAAATACAAAACTAACAACTACCAAGAATATCAACAAAGAATGGGTAAACCGAAGAAGACCGTCTTATAGCCCAACTAGAAATGTAGCCAAGAAATTTGAAGAAGTAGCAGAAATGAAAAAACAAATAGCCAAACAACTGCTAGCAAACTTAAGACTCAAAGAAGAAAAAGATAGAGAGGAACATCTACTTCGAAAGGAGCTTCTCTTAATGGAGTGAGAATTTTAAAAAAAGGAATTGGGTTTAAAGTAATT